GCCTTTCAAATACTGGAATACTGCTGTCATGTCAGCCCTATTTCTTTTCTTTAGACTAGGCAACCGTGGCTCTTTTATGTCTCGTGGACTTCAACTCCCAGAATTCCTGAGCCAGATGGCTCAGCTTGGAAATCTCTCCCTTTCCCCTCAGGATGGATGGCTCAGGAATTCTGGGAGTTGAAGTCCACGAGTCATAAAAGAGCCAAGGTGGCCTTATCCCGGACTAGCCATACCTAGTTCCTGCAGCCGTTCTTCCTATGTTTTTGTCTCCAGGCCTTTAATCAGTTGTTCTTCTCTGCACTTTTTCCAATGTCTTAACATCTTTTTTTGAATGTGGTGACCAAAACTGGATGCAGTATTCCAGGGGTGGCCTTACTTAAAGTGTTATAAAGCGGTGTTAATACTTCACATGATTATGATTCTATGCCTCTGGTTATACAACCAAGGATTGTATTAACTTCTTTGGCTGCTGTGGCACACAGCTGGTTCATGTTTAAGTGATCACCCACTGGGACTCCAAGATCCCTCTCATAGTTAGTTTTTGAGCCAAGTTTGGCCATATCTGTACTTGTCCCTTTGGTTTTTCCTAGGTGTAAAATCTTTTCTCAACATTAAATTTCATTTTGTTGGATAGAACTGCCAGTTTACTTCTGGGTGCAATTCAGTCATCATCTTTAAAACCCTGGATGACATGGATCCAGGTTACTTCAGGAAACGTCTCACTCTATGGGATTGGCCTGCCCCATGCACCAACAGAGGAGACATGCTGTGGGCCCCATCGGCCAGGGTCCAGGACAGGGCCTTCACTGCCATGGCTCCACCCTCTGTAACAGCTTGCCCCCCTGAGGTGAGACCGGCTGCCACCCTCTGACTTTCATAAGGGCCTGAAGACCTGGCTCTGCCAGATGGCTTGAATTCCCAATGGGAGGCGCGGGAGGATATCGTGCTGCAGATGGTTAATGGACAGATAGAAGATCCCCTCTCCCCCCCCCTCTGTATTTTCTGCTCCCTCCCTCCCCATATTTTAAGTGTAACTTTATTTTGAATTGTAATTCCATTTTTACTGTCTTTATCTCATGGTTTTATGCCTTTAATTTTGCAAGCCACTCAAAACGAGAAAGGCAGCAAATAAATTTAATAATAAATGAATAGCACTGGAAAAAAAGGAACACATTAAAATATTGTGAGATTTCTGAATACAGACCAATAAAGTCTTGGCTCACAACAGAAATAATTGTGCTTGAAATGAAGAAAGTGTGAATAATTGGTGTGGTACTATCAGTGGATAGTAGAAGACAAACAAGTAGAGAAGCTCACAAAGTATCAAGATCTGAAAATCGAAATTGAAAAATTATGGCATCAACCGGCTGTGGTGCTCCCAGTGGTTATCAGCCCACTGGGTGCCAGACCAAAAAGGTCATGGTCAGCACATGGAAAATCTGCACAGTGACCAAATTTCCATCCATCAGTTGCAAAAGGCCACACTGCTTGGATCTGCACATGGACTGTGCCGATACATTAAGCCAGGGGTGCTCAACCTTGGCAATTTTAAGACTTGTGGACTTCAACTCCCAGAATTCCTCAGCCAGCAAAGCTTAAAGTTGCCAAGGTTGAGATTGTTGTTGTTAGTTACAAAGTCGTGTCTAACCCATCGCGACCCCATGGACGTTCCTCCAGGCCTTCGTGTCCTCTACCATCTTCTGGAGTCCATTTAAGCTCACACCTACTGCTTCAGTGACTCCATCCACCCACCCCATTCTCTGTCCCCTTCTTCTACTGCTCTCAATCTTTCCCAGCATTAGGCTCTTCTCCAGTGAGTCCTTCCTTCTCATTAGGTGGCCAAAGTACTTGAGTTTCCACTTCAGGATCTGGCCTTCTAAAGAGCAGTCAGGGGTTGATCTCCTCTAGGACTGACCGCTTTTATTGCCTTGCAGTCCAGGGGATTCGCAGGAGTCTTCTCCAGCACCATAGTTCAAAGGCTTCAATTCTTTTGCACTCAGCCTTTCTTATGGTCCAACTTTCACAGCCATACATTGCCACTGGGAAAACCATGGCCTTGACTATATGTACTTTTGTTGGCAGGGTGATGTCTCTGCTTTTTAGTGTGCTGTCTAGATTTGCCATAGCTTTCCTCCCCAGGAGCGTCTTTTAATTTCTTGGCTGCAGTCCCCATCTGCGGTGATCTTGGAGCCCAGGAAGATAAAATCTGTCATTAGGGTTAAGGACCCCTGCATTAAGCTATCCCAGACTCTCAGGCAGAACCTGATGCATATTAAGGACATCAGCTAAAGAACTGGCAGCTGGAACTTGTGAACAGAAGATGATTCTGGGAGGGGAGCAGGCAACTGGCCATCATTGCTTGCGCAAGCCTCTTCCACTTACTTTGGCCAGTTACATGCAGGCTGTTGCTTAGTGGTTCACGTCCCCAGATGAGCAGCTCATAGCAGTGAAAAGAAGCAGAAGGGAGGCCTTCCTCCAATGCAATGCTGGGCCACTGTTGGGGATTTACTCGTTTGTAAGCCGCCTGGAGTCACCTCTGGGAGAGATGGGCAACATACAAATGCAGTAAGCCAAATAAAAGGAGGCAGCAGCTGTGGCCCCTTCCTTTCACTGAATGTTGCATGGTCTGTGCAGCCGGTCTTTAAGCTCACTTGAAACAGGTTGAAAGGGGAAGAGCCAGAAGGTCATGGCTGGATGGAGAGGAGATCTTCTCTGGGGTATCCGGAGGAAACAAGGACAATGTGCATGGCGGGAGAGAGAGGGAAGGCTGTTGGTATGAATCAGCCTCAGGTTTGACTCATCTCCTGCCTTTCCTCCCCTCGACAGGGCTCTTCCTAAGGCTGCTCATCCAGAAGAGCAACTGCCCAGAAAAGAGGCTGGCACTCCTCAAGCACAGGAATATATCAGCTGGGCCTTCCCTGCTCCAGCAAGAGAGGGGAAGCGTGCTTGCAACAGGACCCCAATTGCGCCAGATGCCTGCATACATCTGCTTCCTGGAGGAGATGAGTGCAGGGCCATTTTTCAACGGTGGTCTGGAGGACACCCAAGTGAACATGGAGGAATATTTCAAGCGTCAAAACCAGAAAAGAGAAACTCTGGCCTTCAGGATTTGGACAGTTTTAAGGGCTGATCCAAGAACCCCCAAGTCTTGTCTTTTTATTGCCTCACCAGCCAGGAGCTGCCCTCTTTCCAATGGCCAGCAGGCTATTAGCTCAGGAACCAGGAGCCCCCCTCCCCCCTCCTGCAGATCAGACCATGAAATGGCAGCCACTGCCAGAGCCCTCTCGCACCCAGCCCCACAGATGAACAGGCACACACCACCTTTGCTGTTCAGCTTGCTTTAATATCTGCACTGGAAAGTGAGGCACTGCACCACTGCACAAAAGAATGGCAGCAGCCTGGGCTGCAGGAGGCCGTCTTTCCTCCCAGAGCTGCGGGTGAGGGGAGGGGGAGAGGCGCAGCTCAGCCCCTCAGAGATTGTTCAGTTCAAGAAGAGTTTGGTCCAGGACCTGGTGGATGCCGACGTTCTCTTCTTTGGCACTGGCCAGGTTCTCTGCAAACACAAGGCAGGCGACGGACACACGCACACCGAGCCACAGGCACACACAGCCAGATTGAGAGCCCCCCCCCAAGTGAGAGGAAGGAAGGAAGGCACACGCACAGACACACACACACACGCCCAAGGAGCACATCAGTCTCATGTCTTCCGAAGAAAAGCAGCAGCTACAAGGATGCCAGGCTACCTAGAAGGGGCTGCCCTAGATGCTAGCAGGCAGCCTTCTCCCTCTTGGTTGCTAAGAGAAGGCCAGGCCAAGCCCACAACACCAACCAGGTGCTTCGCAGCTGGCTGAGGGTGCTGCTGAGAGGGTGGCAGCTATTCAGAGAAGATGGAAAGACAGAAAGGGGGCACTACTACCCAGGACTGTGCCCCACCACCTGTGTTCTCCAGCCCAGGGAAAGGTTCCCTCCAGATTCTCCCCCCCCCCAGCGGCAATGGTGTGTGGAGTTCATCCCTTCCCCACCAGGAACCAGCCACCCCTGGGCACCCCACCCCTTCCAAGCGTCTGCTGCCAGGGTGGTGGTGGACAAAGGTTTTCCCTCTTCCCTGAATGCACCCTGGGCACAAGCCCTTCCTCATCTTGCAGGGAACACCCAACATCAGCTAAGTGTTGCTACAGCCCCGTCCACCCCTGAGAGCAGGAGAGACCCTCCCAGGGTAGGGAGACGCTAACTCAGTTCTGGAGGCCGTTGAGGACCAGCCGGAGTTCTCTAGCAAGGAGACGGTTTTTCTCTGCCTCCTGCTGGAAGCGTGCTAGAGAAGAGGCCGAGGCGTCAGTGATGGCAGCAGCGAGAAAGAGAAGGAAGGAAGGAAGGAAGGAAGACACAGGCGTCAGTGCAGAGGAAAACAGAAAACAGGGAGGCCAGGTGCTCGATTTTCCCTCCCCCTCGAAGCCTCTTGCCAAGACCCCCCCCCCAGAAGGCTGCTGCTCTGCTAGGACAGCCAGTGAACCAACCCTTCCCCCCCCATTTCCGCCTTGTTCCCCTCAAACAAGTGCAGGCACGGACGCAGGAAACATCCGCCTAGGGAGGCAGGCAAGGGAGCACTTCCTTAATGCAGCAGCTGCTGCGGGGTGCCAGGAGGTCACCCCGGAAAAAAGCACTGACCCAATTCTCACTGCTGCACCCGCGGGAAGGAGGGCAGCTCAGCTCCCACTTTCGGTGCACCTGGCAGACAGCGGAGCCTGGGAATCCTGGAGCTGCTCCACACGCCCTGCTTGGACCTCTTCCCCACTCCTCTGGGGCCTCACCCCCCACCTCCACCCTGGGAACCCCGAGCCAGAGAAATGTGAGACTAACTGCTGGTGAGGAATCTTGGCTCCGTTACTCCCCACAACCTCCACTTGACCCAAAGAGGTGAGGGGGCGGCAGGACTGATGGGCGAGAGGCTTGATGGGCGCAACCAAAAAGTTTAAATGAAGAGGCAGCAATGGAAGAGAAGAGAAGGAGAGCTTGAGAGATGTTTATTGAAATGAAGAAGATGAGAACAGAACGTGGAAGGCACTGTGGAAGACAGGCAAGGGGGACGAACAAGCAGAGCCAGGAGGGTCCAGTAGGGGTCTGGGGTCTGTGGCCCTCCCGTCCCACCCAGGCAGGGGCCTTTCCCTGGCCAGCGAGTCCCCCACCCTACATAAGGCAGGCTGCTTTCTTAGCACAGCCAGCCCCCCAATAGTGCAGCCCTAAGGCACTTGGGCATAGAAAAGCCCCACTCCCTCCATGGAAACCCCCCCTCGGCCCATTCTCCCCCGGGGTGGAGAAGTATGGGGAGGGGGAGAGAGCTGACAAGGCATCTGCAAAAGGAGGGGGTGCTCAAGGGGTGTCTGGGCAGGGCAGGGCAGTGCAGCCGTGCTGGGGCTCAGAGGGAGGTGATGTCATTCAGCGCATTGTCCAGCTCCTCACTGATGGCCTTGTACTTCATCTTCTGGGCATAGACCTCGTCTGCAGCCAGCGTGCAGGGAGGGTGGACGTAATACAGGGAGTGAGAGACAGCCAGGCAGTAGTGAAGGAGGAGGGAGAAAAGAGTGAAAGTGAGAGGAAGGAAGGAAGAGGGACAGGAGGGAGGAACTCTTGCACAGAGGCACTGGTGTCTCGCTATACCCCCCCTCCCCAGCTGTCTGCAGGCATCGACTCACCCACCCATGCCCAGGCCAAGTGCTGGGGGGGGGAGGAGGAGGGGGGCTTACCTTCTAAATCATCAATGGTTTTCTCCAGCTTTGCCACAGACCTCTCAGCAAATTCTGCCCGAGTCTCAGCCTGGGGGGGGGGGGGCAGAGAGAAGAGCTTACAATGGCCCTGAATCTTATAACAGCTGCAAGATTATTGGTGTGGCAATATTGGAAGAAAAATTCTTTGCCTACTATGGAAGAATGGATACTTAAGGTGTCTAATTTAGCAGAAATGGCGAAAATCTCCACCTATTTGAAGGACCATTCACAAGAAAAATATATTTCGGTCTGGAGAAGATGGATTGATTATATTCAAAAGAAATATGAGACTGAAAAGTACTATCTTGCTTATGAGTAGATTTTAGATTATTATTCATAGTTTAATATGGTTGAATTTATATTATTTTTAGTGTTATGGTTTAATTATATTATTATTCTTGTTTTTAATTAGTTAACATTTGTTTTGAGTTAAAGTATGTTATAGATTGATTGATAGTATAGTCGGGTAATGTTAGATTGTTTATTTGTTACCCTGTAATCAGTTCTGGGAAGTGGGGGAGGGGGGAAGGGGTGGGAGGGGTTTGAGTTATATTGTAATCAATTTGTAAAACTTTTAATAATAAAAAAAAGAGTTTACAATGGCCCAGAAATGAAGGAGCTGTCCAGAAGCCAACCCTGAGCCCTTTGGAGAAAGGGGTACCCCTGACTCCATTCTGAACCCCCAGAGTAGGCCAAAGGGACCATCCCCAGCTCCCTGTCCTGCCTGCTTCGCCCTGCCCTATCTGCTCCCTGCTGCCCCTCTGAGCAGGATGAGGCTAAAGAGAATAAGCGCAGGGACAGTGGTAGTTCTGCCGGACCGCCCTGTCCAGACACAGGGATCTGGCCATGCCAGGTGAGGGCAAAGGTGTCCTCCATCCCCAGGAAAATGACAGCTGCCTCCTTCCTCCCGCAATGGGTAAGGAAGCGGCAGGGCCTTGGGCACCCTTCGGGGCTTCCTGGACAGGCCTCGGCCCGGGCAAGCGGGCGTTCAGCAGAGAGGACGGAGGTCCCCCCACCCTGAGCAGGGGGCACACTCTCCCCACAGCAGAAGTCCTTTTTTTTTCTTCTCTTTTTTTCTTTTTCTTTTTTTTTAAGATATGAGAAACGTAAAACTGTTGGGATGGCTTGTATGAAGAAAAAGATGTAATACTTAAGCGTGATTAACTTTGAGAAAATCTTAACCGGTAAGAACAACTTGAATATTGCGGGGAGAACAAATCTAAATAAGAACTTTGAAAACAGGACTTATGCTGAGCTAATTAAGACGATCACTTAGAAAAGAAGCTTTATATTGACGTGATTGTTAAATACTAGAAAAGTGGTTTATATTCAGTTGTTATCTATCATGTGTTAATTTAAGGTTGGTTAAAGAGAACGTTACTGGAAGAAGAGAACATCAGAGAAAGCTACTATGTCGATTATGGAAGTATAGAAATTAATTGTCATGGATTGCTTTTAAATGTAAACCCAGACAACACGCCATTTACCAAATATTAAGGTGACTATGTTTTTAAAAAATCAATAAAATATAACATATGAGAAGTCCAGGCAAGAAGGAAGGAAGGGCAGCAGCTCTGGGTGTTCAGGCCACAGAACGGAGACTATGGCAACGGAGGAGCTAAGGAGTCAATGTCGCGTCAATGAGGGACTTGACGGCTCTCCTGGTGCTGTTTCCCCCTGCAGTGAGAATCTCTGGCAATGAGTGCTGGGTGGGCTCCTTGCTTTCTGCTCTCTAGCGCTCCAGGGAGCATCCTCCTTTCTGGGCTGCTGCTACGTGGCCCCATCCTCCTCCAATGAAAATCACAGCCAACGGGGGGGGGGGGGGAAATGTGTCAGCAGCCTGTCCCTCCCTCCCTCCCTCCCTGCCTGCCAGGATCCAGGAGCTGAGCACTGACTGCAGATCCTTTGGAGCCAGATCCTCCATCCATTTTCCACCCCACACATATGGAGCCCCCCCCCCCCAGGAGAAGCAGCATTTCCCCTCACCTCTTTCAGCTTGTCTGTCAGCAGCTTTATCTCCTCCTCGTATTTATCCTCCTTGGTGGAATACTTGGCAGAGAGGAAAGAAGAGAGGAGGGATAAAATACGAGGTGCAGCAGCCTGCAGTCTTCCCCCACCCCCGCCCCCTTACTCCCCACACGAAGCCTTTGCACTGCAGAGTGACCCTCTCTCTTGTAGGGGCTGCCCCCACCCACCCATCCCTCCCCCTACCTTGTCAGCTTGAGCCTCCAAAGATTTGAGGTTGTTGGTGACAATTTTCAGTTCCTCCTCAAGGTCCCCGCATTTACTGTGTGTCCCAGCCAGACAGAGAGAGGCAGAGGCAGGGTGGAAGGAAGGAAGGAAGGAAGGAAGGAAGGAAGGAAGGAAGGAAGGAAGGAAGGAAGGAAGGAAGGAAGGAAGGAAGGAAGGAAGGAAGGAAGGGAGCAGAGAGAAAGAAAAAGGGGAGGGAGAGCATCAGTGGAGAGAAAAAAAAGTGGGGGAGGTTCCCAAGGAAGAGGGCCAGAGAGATTCCTCTTGCAGGGCTGGAAACTGAGCTGCACGAAATCAGCTGAATTGGGGGTGGGGGTGGGGCCTTTGCCGCTCCAGGAGAACCTTCTTCCCAAGTGTCCCCCCAAGCCAGCCAGCTTCAGACACAGGGAGTCTGAGGAGCAGACTCCCCTCAAGCGCCTGCCCTTGGGAGATGCCCAGCCTGCCTTTCCATCCGGGCAGCTAACACAGGGGGGCGAGGGGCTGTTGGGTCACCTTGCTGGTGGTGATGCAGGCTGAGATGGCTGCTTCTGTGGGAAGATGCTGCTGTTCAGTCTCTCCCCCTCCCGCTATCCTTCCCCCCACCTCAGTTGCCTCTGCATCCTCCAAAGATAAGCTAGGCCATGAATGGTTCCTAAAGTGCTGCTCAGTCCTCCGTGCAAGGCCAGAAGAAGCACCCAAACAACAGTGAGGACGGGTCATCTCCGTTGCAGTCACGCTGGGCTGGGAGGTGCAGAGCAGCAGTCTCTGCACCTTCCTTTGCCATCTCTGCTATGGGGGTGCAGCCAGCCCTGAGCCTCCACCGGGGCACTGCCGCATCCAGGAGAGATACCAGCTAGAGAAACTCAGCAGAGGAGGCAGAAGAGAGGAGAAAGACTCAAGGCCGAGGACCCAGGACCGGGTGAAAAGCAGGAGAGGAGAGAGAGGGCGCAGCAAAGGCGCGAAAGAGAGGAGGGAGAGGAGGGCAGGAGAGCCCCCTACTCAGTACCTCTTCCTCTGAAGCCATCAAGGATTTGAGGGCCTGATCCATAGTACGGAGCTCCTCTTCCAGCTGCCTCACACGGCTGGGGAGGCAACGCAAGGATTAGCCAGAGGAGAAGGGCCAGCAGGATCCACACAGCCAGGGCTGCTCCCCCGCCCCCAGCTTAGGCCCAGGACGGGCTGCCCAGAACTCAAAATATGGAGAAGCCATCAATCATTTGTGCCAAGATAGAAGCCACAGTGGCGCCTCTGGAGAGCCAATCCTGTCAGTCCTCTTGCTCTTTCCTAGAGACGTGGGGTGGGAAGAGGCCTCAGGGATAATCTGAAGCCAGGGGCTCAGTTAAGACAAGGACCCGTCTTCTTGAGGGCAAGACTAGAGAAGATGGAAGGATCATCATGCAGGGAAGCACAGGGGCCGCCTCCCCCACTTGCACACAAGGGCCCCACCCTGCCTTCCAGCCCACCGGGGCCCATCAGAGCAGAGAGGAAAGGAGCGCAAGGGCTGAAGGGGCCTTGGGATGCTTTCTCAAACGGGAGCCGACAAATGGGTCGATTGTGAGAGAGGAAGCCATGCAGGGGAAGGGAAGAGAGGGAAGCAGGCTGAGGATGCCCTCTGCCCATTGGGCCCCCTGCACTCCATGGCCGGACAAAGGAGCTGGCAGCTTCCGTAGCTGTACTCACCTCTCGGCCACCTCTGCCCTCTCCTCAGAGCGTTCCAGATCCCCCTCCAGGATCACCAGCTTACGGGCCACCTGGAAAGCAAAGGCCACGTCAAATGGGTAAGTGGGATGCTCCCCCCCCCCAAAAGGCAGCCAGGGCCAGGGCCGATGTCTCCCTCCTGCAGCCCCGAGGGCTCACCTCTTCATATTTGCGGTCTGCCTCTTCAGCGATGTGCTTGGCCTCCTTCAGCTGCATCTCCTGTAGTTCCATCTTCTCCTCGTCCTTCATGGCTCGGTTTTCGATGACCTTCATGCCTCTGGGGGAAATGAGCCCCGGTCAAGAAAACTCTCCTGCAGCCACTGGGCTGGAGAACTGACCACAACCTCGACACCAGTATCTGAGCGCACAGGTGCACCCTGCCACGCTCACCACCCAGACTGCCCAACCCTTCGCTAGGGGTCCCTGGGCTTCGACCGCAGTCCCCACAGGCCCTGCTCACCTTTGACCCCCCTCCTTCATCTCATGGAACAGGAGCAGGTCATGTGTTCAGTGCTTTAAAAGCCCTGGGTTCGGGTCCAGGCAACCCAACAATTTTCTCTGCAGCCAGCTAGGCAGGCGGAATGGGGCTGGGGAGTGACTGGAATTATTACACCTCCTGAAAAACTCCCTTTGCTCGCCTCTTTAGTGATCCAAGACTGCCATTTATGCCAGCGAGAGCTGGAAGGCGCCAGCAAGTATTAAGGAGAGACTTGAAGTCTTGCAACAAAGATGCCTCTACCGAACCTCTTAAAGGTTCGCTATTTTGACCACGTTACTAACAAAGAAGTGCTCCAAAAGAGTTTCTCTTGCAAACTACCTAGCATTGTCATATGCAGACGACCAATCTGCCAGTCACATTCTCTTCATGGAGAACAACTGAATCCCCAAGATGGCAGTCAGATGGACCCCCTCCCAAATGACCACCAGGACGCCCTCGAAATATATGGCCAAGAATGTCCATGGAAGACTTAAAAGACTCTACGCATCACGTGGGAAGAGGCTGAAGCACCTGCCCAAGATCGAAAATGCTTGCTGCCCGACATGATTCATAGCACAGGAGGATCTAAGTCTTGCCGTGGAAGCAGATTTCTTGGGCCACACTTATTTTCTTAAGTAGTCACAAGGACTCTCCAGCCCTTCCCAGCAGCCCCGTGGCTTCATTTGGGTTCATCTCGTTTGCCTCCCGATGAACATTAGTCCCACCTCTCGCTCTCATCAGCCATCTTCTCCGTCTCCTCCAGTTTCTGCAGCGCGGTGGCCAGGCGCTCCTGTGCTCGGTCCAGCTCCTCTTCCACCAGCTGGATACGACGGTTCAGAGATGCCACATCTGACTCAGCCTGCAAAGAAATTAGTGCCCTGAGACCAGACTCTCTCCCTCCTTAAGGCTTACACTGACAGCCAGAGTGGTCTCATCGCAACTTACAGTTCAGAAGATTCACTCCCTACACCTCCAGGTGAGGATCCAATACCAGCCTTCACCCAGACCAGGTTGGTTATTCTTCCCCCAAATAGCAGACAACTCCCTGAGCCATCCAGTAAAACACCCCCCCAAAGGTGACTGATTTCTAGGAACATCGGGAACTGCCTGGTCCTTCTGCTGGGAAACAGCAACACCAGAGTAAGCCAGGGAAGCACATTTTCTGCCCTCCTCAGAGAAACTTCCAGGATTAAACCTAGACCAGGGGTAGGCAACCTTGGCTCTTTTATGACTTGTGGACTTCAACTCCCAGAATTCCTGAGCCAGCATGACTCAGCTTGGAAACCTTTCCCTTTCCCCTCAGCATGGCTGGCTCAGGAATTCTGGGAGTTGAAGTCCACCAGTCATAAAAAAGCCAAGGCTGCCTACCCGTGGACTAGGCCTACCAGTTTCTGATAATCTACTCCGGTCAGGCTTAACAGACTAGGCCAGGGGTAGGCAACCTTGGCTCTTTTATGACTCCTGGACTTCAACTCCCAGCATCCCTGAGCCAGCATGGCTCAGCTTGGAAACCTCTCCCTTTCCCCTCAGCATGGCTGGCTCAGGAATTCTGGGAGTTGAAGTCCACGAGTCATAAAAGAGCCAAGGTTGCCTACCCCTGACCTAGACCCACACCCAGAAGGCCAGCCCTGACCCCTGACCGCCAACCTCAGCAAGGGCCAGCCTCAGGATGTGCTGAGGAAGTCCATTCCTGGCCTTGCTTTGCAAGCCCCAATCACACCAAGCCTCTTCCTGTAGACCTCAAGGAAGATGACCTGGATGGAGCAAGGAGGGTGGAGCAGGTCTTCACGCCCCACTGATACTCGGAAGAGGCTCAAACAGACACCCCCTTAATTCACAGGAATATTCGAAAGGGAAGGAGGCACCCCTCAGTCTGACCTGCAAGATTCTATTGTTATAGCCCAGTGGTGACGAACCTATGGCACGGGTGTCAGAGGCGGCACTCGGAGCCGTCTCTGTGGGCACACGTGCCATTGCCCCAGCCTCGCCTCCCCCCACGACCCCCTCCTCACGAGCAGCCCCCCTGGAGGAGTCGCCCCCGAGCGTGGCCCACGCGGAGCAGCCCAGCCAAGGACATGGCAGCCAGGCAGTGTAGACAAGACTGCCCTCACGCCCCATCGCGCACAGTTGATGCTGCAGGGTGCGGGCAGAGGGCATGGCTACCATGGCGCTGCTGGGCTGCCTGGGCAATCTGTGGTGGGCCCTGGAGGCGGTGAGTGGCCCTGAGGGCAGGCGGGGTGGGAAATGGTGTGGGGGCGGAGCAGGGGCACAGCAGGGGGTGGAGCGGGGGGCGGGGCCAGTTTTGGGGCACTCGGTCTCTAAAAGGTCCGCCATCATTGTTATAGCCAATTTCAATAAAAGTCCTTTGATTCTTCCCGTGAAGTTAATCTCACAGTCTGGGTCTTCTTATGGGTCTGACGATGCCCAGCCTGACCCCAAGCCCCATGGTTTGGCGCTTCTGCCATCTTTCTCCAGCCTGCAGAACATTTATTTATTTATTTATTTATTTGTGAGACTTATATACCGCTTTAAGTGCAAGCACTCTCTAAGCGGTGTACACCAGTAAGCAATGTATATATATATATATTTACATTGCCCCCAACAATCTGGGTCCTCATTTTACCTACCCCGGAAGGATGGAAGGCTGAGCTGGTGAGATTTGAACCGCTGACCTGCTGAACACAGTCAGCCAAAGTGGCCTGCAGTCCTGCACTCTAACTGCTGCGCCACCTCGGCTCTTATGGATGGATGGATCCTGTTTCAGTTTAATACAGGAAACAGACTTCAGTATTTCTGAGATCTTTCCCATCCTTTATTGATTGCCTTAACCGATTTATAGGCTGCCCTTCAGTTGGAAGTAATAGAAAACAGGCAGGAACCTTTTTCGGGAGGATGGCAGAAGGAATGTATTTCAGAATCAGAGGGACCACCTCCTCTCTTGGGCAGAAGCTGGTGACTGGAATCCTGATGCACCCACATGTGGGAAACACACTCGTAACATATTCACTCCCAGACCATATGCAGGGCCTTATCAACCCAGAAACTGACCCAGAGTCTGGGACCCAATTCCCCAAACAGCCCCTTTGCCTTTTGCAGATTCCTGCTAACATCAGAGAATGTCCCCCCTCCCACTGAATGGGGGTGGTGCCTCCACCCCTCCAAACAGCTGGATGTACAGAGCACCTTAAACGGTCAGCTTTTGCCCCACTGGCTACGCTTGGTTAGGGACTTGAGTGTCTCTGTGCAGCTCAGCCCTGAAGGAATGAATGGAAGAGGGATCTGATGGGCAGGGAAGGAAGGAGAAAGAGCCGCCCCAAAGGGCAGAGTAGCTGATGAGGAGAGGTGGAGTAGGGCAGTGCCTGGGTGTACAAGAAAAGGGGAGCGAATTTAAACCGGAATTGTGTTTGCTAGGAATATTAGGATCTAATTATGGAAAGAAGAATGAGTACTTAATATTACATGTATTAACAGCTGCGAGAATAGTATTTGCCCAGTTTTGGAAAAACGAAAATTTACCATCTGACCAGATATAAAAATACTTGAATGGGCCTGAAATGGACAGATTAACTTTAGACATGAAAGAGAAAGAAGACTCAATCTATTTTAAAACATGGGATAAATTTTACCAATGAGTAGCAACACGCTAGAATGAGAAAAGGTTACGAAATTCAATGGGATAATTGTTATTTTGTATTTAAATTTTAATGTTTATTTCTATGAATTCTTTTTTCCTTTTGTGATTTTAACAATAAGTAACTATAACTAATGTAATATATTGTGTTAAAGTTATCTGATTAATTAGTGATATAATTAGTAATATTATATCAAGTATTGTTACCTTATATTAATTATCATGATTGAATATGTATACTTGCTGAAGCGTTGATTTAATGTGGGGGATAACTACCATGTTGTACTGATCCTTTCCCCTGGTCTAACCTTTTTTGTTTGTCACCCCTTGTTATACCCTTACTGACCCCACTTCCCCTTTATCCATATAAATTCTAATAAAATATTTTTAAAAAAATAAAAGGGGAGCGTTTCTGCTGGGCACAAAGTCTGTGCTTGGGCATCTCTGGCCACCAGGCCCTCCCCCAAAACACACACACAGGGCAGCTTCTCTAGGGCTTCTTGGCCTCTCTCTGCAGAGCTGCTGGTTCCCCCCCCCCACTACCCAACCCCCCCCTTCTCTCTCTCTCTCTCTCTCTCTCTCTCTCTCTCTCTCTCTCTCTCTCTCTCTCTCTCTCTCTCTCTCTCTCTCTCTCTCTCTCTCTCTCTCTCTCTCGTCCTACATCCTGCCTTGGGGCCTGGGAACCTGCCGCTGCCCCATGGGGTTTTATAGACTCTCTGTACAGCCCCTAGAAGCCAGCAGGAGCTCCATGAAGGAGGAGGAGGAGGAATGTGGGACCCTGGGCGTGGCAGGCCAGGAGACTGCTGGGAACCGGAAGTGACCCATGAACCCACTAAATGAATAAAAAAGGAGCTAAGCATCTTGAGTGAGCACTGCAGCCTCATGGCCAGCTCTGTCAGCACTGATGGGGAAAAGGAAAAGATCCTCTCGCCCCACCCCCATTGAGTCACTCTGGGCGCAGCTGGACTTTACTCTAAAACAGGAACTCCATCGAGAAGCATGCGGGGGGGGGCTCCCGCACACTGCCCGGGGACTCCAGGCCCTTCCTGGCACGCTGACTCAAGTCCAGCAAAGACTGATGGGAAAGGGTGAAGCAGCGGTAAGGGTGGGCCCTGCTGCTTTCTTTTAGGCAATGCTGACTAAAGCAGGAGGAATGCCCCCCTCCCCCCCAGCAGCATATTCCCCAGAAGAGGAGGACAATGTGAGCTGGGGGGGGGAAGGATTTCCTGTTTATTGCAGCAGAGGTGGGCTGCACACTCAGAGGGGGGGAGGAGCGAGGCAGCCCCCCCCAACTCCACACATTCCAGGCAAGGGAGGAGCATCCTGCCAGGTCAAGCGGCCCCTGGCATGGGGGAGGCCCAAGAACCTGGGCCATACAGAGGGTCAGAAAAGCAGCCTCTTCCCAGGGCTCTGGAGAGGGCGCCTGGCAGGAAACTAGTGCATGACACAACATGCTGGAGAGGAAGGAGAGGAGGGGGAGGCGCAGTCAAACCCAGGATGAAGCAACCAGGCTTGCACTGAAGAGGAGCCTCAGAGCACCCAGGCCACAGGACAGGAAGGGAGGACAAACGGTCCAAGCAGCCCAGCCTAATTCGTGGCTTCTCCATCCAGGGCCTGGTCTTTGCACCCAGAGACTTGGCTCTCCTGTCTGGACTGCCAACATCCACCCAGGGAATCCAGAGCCCTCACAGAAGCCTCAGCCAATCCCCACTGAGCCATCAAGGCCTGGGGGCTGACTTCTGAAGGCAGCCCACCTTGAAACGTCAGTGCCTAGTGAGCTCTACAACCTGCCTCCAGAAATTGTGAATGCTCCAACACTGGGAGTTTTTAAGAAGAGACTGGACAGCCACTTGTCTGAAATGGTATAGGGTTTCCTGCCTGCGCAGGGGGTTGGACTAGAAGACCTCCAAGGTCCCTTCCAACTCTATTATTATTATTACTTCCACACCCTGCATGAACAGTTCACGGGGCTTGGATGTGCACACATCTGGACCCTAGAAGAGCCTCAGTAAGCCTGGATCAGCCATGGGGGGAGGGCAACCCCTTTGTTACCCACAGTGAAGGATGCTGAGGGTTCAACAACATCCAGAAAGCAGTTACTGCACAGAAAAAACTGAACTAGATGCGCCTTCAAAGCACCTCTGAAACACTTCGCAGAGTGAAAACAGCAGTTTGCTCAGCAAAGCAGCCCTCCTGGTGCACAAGATGCCAGATCCTGATACCTTGTG